AGTCCTCGCAAACTGGCAACGGCCTTGTAGGTCATCACGCACCACAGTCTCCAACACCTACTTTCAATATAGTGTGGAGTTTGGTCAGATCGCGCCACGGCCACGCATAGATCGCGAGTAGTTGAAAACTCTCTAAGGTGGTTTAACCAGCCTGAGAATCTTTCATGACTGCATTCTAGATGATGTGTGCTGAATATACTTTCGTTGATAAATGTAGAACATTTCGGATAATTATACCATCTTTTGAATCTAATGTTCTGCATGCTTCCATTACCAAGTCTCATCTCTGCGCATTTGGTGTTGGCTGAATTTAAGCCACACGCACAGCAATCAGGCAGTCGTGATCCAATAAAGAGCACAGTAATAGGCTCGCCAATCGCATGGAGGTGTCAGTATGCATCCATGCTTGTCCTCTCACTGCCCATGCGCTCAATTATCATACTATGGAATGATGCTGAAGTAGACATCAGGGCATGGCTTTGCTCCCCATCTGCATGCCCACTCGTTTGTATGGAGGCAGAGGTGGTACACAATCCTTCTGGCCATTCAAGCTCCTTTAGATGTGGCAAAGCAGGACTACAAACTAAGAAATAAATGAGTAAGTTTGGTCGATTTCTATGCATGAAGCTTCAGAAAGGCTTCGTATGACATTTTCTTTATCGAAATAATCACCAATGTAAGAGAGTGTGTCTCTCTCAGCCCAACCTAAAGTGGACATCCTCTTACAGGGTGGCTTTGTGAATGGAGACGTGGGGTTAACTTGAATAAATAGAAATGGGATTTATTTTGGAGTGTTTTACTGGCCATAGCTGCTTCCGCAGACCGAATGGGTAGACTACATGCTTAGTTGTTTGGCCTTTAGCAAGAAATACATCAGCTAACGCATCTGTCTACCGTCAAATGTGAAGCAAGAACAGTCAATTCGGAGTGGAGTGAAGAGCTCCATAGAGGTGTGGGTGTGCATTGCATGAAGTGAACGGTTTGAGGATGGCTAAAGACCTCCGCTTTCGTTCAACGGACATTGCATTGCATAAGCAGTAAGGTTCAGCTTTCATCAAAGGCCAGAGAGTCGGTTGTTCTGTCGATCAGTCAGTCAATCAACCAGCCAACTAGACGGCAGCCAATCTACCATACACAGAGGAGCACTTTCACAAAGCACATGAAGCGGAGGAGTGGAAGACAAAGTTGTGACCTTTGAAACACACTGCCATCTGTCGGTAAGGCATGTGGAATCCACTAGCTTCATTTCCACGAGCTTCTAGGTTGTAAGTGCAAGTTCCCCACACGTCACCCTTAATCAGTATTTCCAACAGCGACAGGCAATTATTACCGATCGCGAAGAGAGGTTCTACCGGCACGTAATTCGTCTACCGTGATGTGATTTATTTTCAAAATTGAACCACTTGCACCAATTCATCGCGGTGTCTCCTGCTTCCGCGACTTCTTCAAATGCTATGCAAACCTTACGAGACGTATCTGCTGCTTTGAAACGGAGCTCCATTTCCCGATGCAGATAAGCTGGCACGACATCAGATTCGTACCGGGATTTCATGGCGTGAAGAGTCGAGGTAACGGAGCGCAACGAAGCGACAAAGTGACTGCAGCGTGCTCTACCGCATATAGCAAGAAATGGATAATCAAATAAAATTACATTTCAAAGAGTAGAAGTGGAAAGGAAACATGCAGTGTAGGAGGGTGGAAATGAGTTTATTGCACTATCAATCATGACTACCACGTAGCTGATCTGTGCTTGTTTGTAATGGGGGTTCAAATACACGATTCACTCAAACCAAGTCATCCGTATTAACTCAGCTGTCGTAGTGTTTGGCCCACGCCACCAACACTAATGATAATCCTCAGTGCCCTGTGCGTTGGTAGTAGACTCACTTCTCCACCTATGTGTAGCTTCAGATGTTCAAAGACGCCCTTACAATTTAAGCAGCCAAATTGGATGCATGCGCTGGACTTCGATAGTGAGAAGTTTAAGGATGATGCACTTTGAAGGCGCATCACTGGGTCCTGAGAGGAAGACGCTCGGAATGTGCCAGGACGGGATTCATAGAGGCTTGGAGGTCTAAGGTGGCTTGACAGCACTAACACTGCAGATGAGATTACTACTTCACGGTGGTGAAGTATCCACATTCAAAACCACT